GAAAGCAAGAGCTTAAAAAAATAATAGCGCACATCGGCGACACTAAAATCAATCAAAAGCAGTATATTTAATTGAAAACGTGAAGGCGAGGCCTGATTAGTTCCAACCTAAACAGACTTGGCTCCAAAGTTACAGTGAGTTCACTAACGTACCTGGAGCTAAATTTATTTTTAAACCACCCCAAATCTGTTTGAGTTTGCTAAGGTATTTGGATAGATCTACCTGACAATTACTATTGAAATACAAAGGGAAAACCTATCAAGCAAACTGTAAAAATACCCAACTTACTCCTTTGAAGTTAAAAAGTCAAGTTCTATGGTGCTTTCTGTCACCCCAACAAAGTCTCCTTAACCTCCAAATATGTAGGACTCTGGCAAGCCTTGTATTGTTGCATCTTCATTAAAACACTCCCCCCCCGCCGCCCCGCAACCAAGCTTTGCATCATGCTATTTAAAACCTAGGAATTAGTTTATTCCTTCAATTTAATCAAGCCTCACCGACCTCCACACCTGGAAAGTGTAGACTTAAAAACAAAGACAAGCACAAGTCGTGGTCCAAAGAATGTCTCAAAACAAAGGAAATAACGGCGCCATAAATCCTTGCCCGCCAATTTTTTCCTATACTATCCCGTGGAAAAATATGTACTGCATAAAATAAGAAAATCTTATGAGACTTCGTGGTCTACTCTACTTGTACTCAGATTACGAGTTTTGGTTTGAAAGCCCTTTCGGTATCAAAGAAAAGCACCCTACTTAGGCCTAACACAAAGCCCGCGCATCTCCCTGCAACGGCCCAGAATTTAGTCTCCTTCAGATTACTTTCCCCTATCCTACAAAAGAAGTCCCCAAAACACACTAGATTCCATTCTTCCGGGGCCGGTACGACGACCCTTTCCTAATGTACACACCGGTTGAGGTTGAAAGACCCTAAAAAACGGTGCCTTTCTTTTCCCACCCCCACCCAGTAAGGCGCGGGCCCATCCGCCATTTTGTGCCTCTGGCGGCGCGCCCAGCCCGCCAGCCCAAGATGGCTGCGGCGAGCCTTCGTAGGAGAGCAACGGAGAAATGATACCTCTCCCCTCCCCCAACACCAAGGGGACGCAGCGGCCATTTTTAATCCCCCCCTTATAACGGAAAAAACGGCCGACTCGGGTACGAGCCCACAGAAGCCTGCCTGGGGCCTCCTTCACGACTAAAGACGCTACCCGCGAGGGCTTTTTAAACTGACTCCCGTCCTGTTGGCCTGACCTCGCAGCCCAAATCGCCCAGCTCCGGTCTGAGGCCGACGGGCCTGGAAAGACGAAAGAAGCTGGGACCACACAGCCGCCCCCGCCACCACCTCTACGTACCCGCTCGCCGTAGTTCTGCTCGCCGCTGTCGCTCATGACGCCCAGGTGCTGCGCCGCTCGGCTCGATGTGCTCCAATCCAAGTTGCCAACCTCTTGCTTTCCTTATAGAGGCTCCGCCGCAGCCTCTCAGAACGCACTGCTCCCAAGTCGCTGGTCACCGAAGCGCACCGCACCACCTCCGCGCAGGATCTAAGTCTTCCGGACGTGACGCGGCGTCCTTAAACCGGCTCCGCCCCCTGCCAGAACGCGCGCTTTCTTGGCCCTGCCCCTCCGCGCTCGCCATTCCCTATCCAGCAGTGGCGCGTCGCGGGCCGGATGTGGCGTACGCCCCGCCCCTCGCAGGCCCTGCCCCCAGCTCTGGGTCTCTGAGAAGCGAGAAAGGAAGCGTGGAGGTTAGTGTCTGTGATGGTGGGTCTGCGGTGCAGTGATGCCGCCACCGGGTGCGGGGATGTCTCCGGCCACTCCTGATTCCTTTCTTTGTCTTTCCTAGTAAACGGTCGTGGGCAGGAGAAGGGAAGGAGGAGATGCCCTCCGTTTCTCCCGTCTTTTTTACTTTTTTTTTTTTTTTTGTCTTTTTTTGTGTCTTTCCTCTGTTCGGGAAGGTGGACATCCGTATATTGGGGTCTGCTGTTTGCATTTATTTAGCCTTAGTTGTAGCTCTTTCTTTCTTGAATAAACCTTCATTTGAGCACCTATTAAATGCCAGAGCACTTTGCCAGATCTTGATGCACTGAAGTCAGACATAATCTCTATTCTGAAGAAGTTAGTAGTTTTATAAGGGAGAACCATTAAACACATGCATGCAAACGATGATTTTAAGTGCTAGAGGGATGCACAACTACAATGATGTAGCAAGGGGGAAGATTAATTTTGCGTGGTATTATCTGTGGTTTTTCTCTCCATGGTTTCAGTTATCTGTGGTTAACTGGTCTGAAAATATTAAATGGAAACTTGCAGAAATAAATAACTCATAAGTTTTAAATTGTGCACAGTTCTGATTAGTGTGAGGAAATCTCATGCCATCCTGTTTCGTCTAGCCTGTGATGTGAATCATCCCTTGTCCAGTGGCTCCATGCTGTTTGTGCTCCCCACTGGTTAGTCACTTTGTAGCCATCCTGCTATCAGATCAACTGTCATGGTATTGCAGTGCTTGTGTTCAGGTAACCCTTATTTTAGTTAATAATGGCCCCAAAGCAAAAGAATAGTGATGCTGGCAATTTGGATATGCCAAAGAGAAGCCCTAAAGTGCTTTCTTTATGTGAAAAGCTAAGTATAGCACAGAATGATATTGTGGAGAGAAAGACCACATTCTCATTTTTAAAAGACCACATTTTATTACAGTATATTGTTATATTTGTTCTCTTGTTATTATTGCTGTTAATCTCTTACTGTGCCTAACTTATAAATTAAACTTTACCATAGGGATGTATGTATAGGACAAAAGAGTATATATAGGATTCCATACTATCTGTGGTTTCAGGCATCTACTGGAGTCTTGGATCGTATCCCCTGTCGATAAGTGGGGGACTGCTGTGTTGGAAAGAGCCGAAACTTGGAAGTCGAGACCTCTCTGCACCTGTTGTTTCCCCATGCATTAAAAAAAAAGTATGGTAAATGGCTAGTGAGGTACTCTAATAGCGGTAAAAAGCCACTTGATTTTTTAAAAAAGCTTTTTGAGGTGTAATTCACATACCATGAAATACTCCCATTTAAAGTGTGCAATTCTAATAGCTTTTATTATATGTACAGAATTGTGCAACCATCACCACAGACAATTTTAGAATAGTTTCATCTCCCCAAAAAAGAAACCTGTACTCATTAACAGACCATCCCTCCCAGCCTATGGGTAGAAGACAAGATGGAGAAGGGGCCAGGTGCTGGGAGTGGAAAGCAAGAAACTCCTTCTCTACCCACTCAACTCTAAGGAATCCCAAATCTACTTTGTCTCTATAGTTTTTCCTATTCTGGACTTTTCCTGTAATGGAATCATACAATATGAAGGCTTTCATGACTGTCTTCTTTAACAGCATAACATTTTCAAGGATCATCCATGTTGTAGCATGTATCAGTATTTCATTCTTTTTTATTGCTGAATAATATTCCACTGTATAGATATATCACATTTTATCCATTCATCAGTTGATAGAGTTTTGGTGGTTTCTAGTTTTTAGCTATGATAAATAATGCTGCTATGAACATTCATGTACAAGTTTTTGTATGAACATACATTTCGGTTTTCAGTTCTTTTGGAAATATTCCTAGGAATGGAATTGCTGGGTTGTATGGTAACTGTGTTTAACTTTTTGAGGAACTGCCATTTAATTCTAGCCACCCTAGTGGGTGTGACGCAGTATCCCATTGTGGTTTTGATTTGCATTTCTCTAATGATGTTGAGCATCTTTTTATGTGTTGTTGTTTTTTTTTCAGACATTTATAGAGTTTCTTTAGAGAAATGTTTATTCAGATACCTTGTTCATTTTTTAGTTGGGTTATTAATCTTTTTATTATTGAGTTGTAAGAATTGGCAATTTCATTCTTGCTTGGTTTAAAATAGGCATCTGGAACAGCATCAGTATTTAAGGGACCCGAGACCCTGAGATTTGGTGGTGACTTAAGATCTCTTTTTATATATTATCCAGAGCCAACCTCATATGCTTTCATAGTTTCAGTCAGGGACCTATATACTTATGGTTTCCAAATTGATATTATGGCCTTGAACACCATCCTCAGTTCCATGCTTAAATTCCAGTTGCCTGCTGGAATATTTACCTGAATATTTCAGAGCCTTGTAAAAATTAACATGTTCAAAATTAAAATTAAAATTAAACTAATCATTTTAATAATATATCTCTCACTGCCCTCTAAATGTCTCTGCTAAAACTTTCTTCTCTCTTCCCCTGCTCATCAATGCTACTTCTCGTATATTTTATAAACTTGTCTTTTCCTCTCTACCTCCCACCCCTCACCCCCATCACCATTTATCAGGGCCTCATCAACTCACCTTTCTGGAGAATTGCAAATTATCTTGGAAATTAAATTAGTGTTTGTACAGTTTTTATAGCTTTAAGTACTTTATTTCAAGTTCTAATATGAGGAAATAGGGTTATATGAAGAGTCAAACCATTACCTTGAAGCTGGAGTCATAATTCACAAAGATGAAATGGGTTAGGGTTTTCTTGAGGGAAAAACTTTAGCACACTTTTCCCCAATAATTCTGTTTGGAATTTTGCAATGATTCCTTGTACTTTTGTGCATTTATTAATTTCTAATCATTGTATTGGCTAGGCTGTACCATTTCTAAATTTTCTCGTATCTTCCCTGGGAAGAAGAGATTAGATTTATTTCCTCCTTTTTAACACCTGGGCACTTTTCAATGTGAGGTAATTTAAAAATTAAGGAGCAAAATGTTAATTATAAAATCTATGTGAGTCCACAAAGTGGATGTTCATTGTACAATTCTCTCCACTCTGTTTGAACATTTTCATAATCAAATGTTGAGAGAAAAGAACCTAAGTCCGGTCATGGTACCACATGCTCTAAAACCATCAGTGGCTTCTCATAAGTCCAAAAACCTTAATATGATCTGCTATTTTCTGCATGATCTGTTCCTTATTTGATATTGTCCCCCTTGTTCACTATGCCGTAGGCACACAGTTTCTCACACTCCGTGTATCCTCGACCCTGGACCTTTTATGAATATTCCTCTCATGGGATAGTCGACAACCACCCTTCCTCATAACACACACCTAAGCCTGGGCTTCTACTCAGATCTCAGGCTTTGCCTTGCTTCCTGTTTCAGATTAGATTAGATCTCTTGTTTACATAGACTTTTAAGCACTCCTCCTATCAGTCATAACAATTGTAATTTTAAATGATATATAATTATTTCTGTGATTTTGGTTTTCATGTTTGTTTTTCCCACTAGACTATAAGTTCCTTGAGGACAAGGCCCATGCCTATTTTATCTACCGTTTTATACCTAGTACCAGTGCCTGGCATGTAGTAAGCCTTCAAGAATACTTGTTGAGTGAATGAAGAAAAGCAAAGTATGAATTTTGACTTGTTTGAATAGAATAGATTTAGAACAGAATTTAGAATAAATTGTTTTTGTAAGTTCCTAAGTAGTCAACTGACTTGCTGAAAGCAAGGAATATTGTCCTGGCAAAGACATAAAAGTCAGGCTGGAGGGCTTATGTGTCATTCATGTCTGTTTTGCCAGCACCTAGCACAGAGCCAGACTGTTGAATGAGTGGCCATGTGGGATGTGGTTCCAGTACTGTAAAACTGGACTCCTATGGCAGTAAGAATGGAAAGTAAACAGTGTGGGTCTGCTCTGAGAGGGTGGACCTCACTGGTCTTGATGGGGTACACACTTGGCCCTCCATATCCACTGATTCCATAATGCAGATAAAGAATTTTTTTAAAAAGGTTACATTGTTGCTGACATGTACTATGTAGCTAGGCCTATGATGGTTCCTCGTCTGTACTGACCATGTCTTTTTCTTGTCATTATTCCCTAAACAATATAGTATAACAACTATTTACATAGTATTTACATTGTAATAGATATTATAAGTAATCTAGAGATGATTTAAAGTATACAGGAAGATATGTATAGATTATATGCAAATACTATGCCATTTTATATAAAGGACTTGAGTATCTTCAGATTTTGGTATCTGCAGAGGGTCCTGGAACCAATCCACCGCACATCCTAGAAGCATGTAGCAGCACCCAGCAGCATCCAGCTGCTGGTGGCCTCCTCTGACATCACATCAGGTGGTTTTTTTTCAGTTGAGACTCTGCCCCATAAACAGTTTTCCTTGGCAGGGAAAGATTTATGAAAAAATTCTAGAGGACAGATTTCTATTAAATTTTTATGGTATGGCCACTCAGCAACTTCTCTGTCATCCAGTGAGCCACAGTCAGGCTATTTCCAACAAGGTCTGGACCTCAGCTCTTGAGTGGAGGGAGGTCTTTCTTGAGGACTCTATTTCAGACTTAGGGTAAAGCTTCTCCTTATATCTGCTATTTCTATATTCCTTAGAGATCTCTTCTTACTAGTTAATCCTTCATTACCCCTATCTCCAGTTGAAGTTATTCTTTGTTAAACTTTCTCTGTTCAAATTACTGTGCGGTTTATGTCTCTTAATTGAACCCCTAGTGATCAGAATTGCTGCCCTGATACATCCCAAGAGACTGCTGGGATGTAGAGAGAGATGCTAGATCAACTTCTAGGTCTGGCTTGGTGACCAGGTGGAAGGACAGTATTACCGTTGACTGGAAAGGAAAATGAGGGCAGAT